CCCCCCTCGGCCTCCCAAAGTGCTAGGATTACAGGCGTGAGCCACTACTCTCAGCCTTATTATGGTTTTGAGGGGTACAGTCAAAGGAAATTTGAGAACTTGAACCCCTCAGATAAGAAACTGCCACCAGCAGGAAACAGAGAAGTGAGTTTCCATTGACTCTGGACATTCTCAAACCTGATGCAGGGAGATGGGAGAGGGTTGATGCTGACTGTGACACTGCAGGACAGGGCTTGTGAAACCCAAAGTTTCTCTCATCACTATGGTTTCATTAATTTTGAAAATGATGGTTATAGCTCCTTTTGTTTTTGAGATGGAGTTTCACTCTTGTTGCCCAGGCTGGAGTACAATGGTGTGATCTTGGCTCACTGCAACCTCCGCCTCCCGGGTTCAAGTGATTCTCCTGTCTCGGCCTCCCAAGTAGCTAGGACTACAGGCCTGTGCCTCCACGCCCGGCTAATTTTTTTTGTATTTTTAGTAGAGATGGGGCTTCACCATGTTAGCCAGGATGGTCTCAATCTTCCGATCTCAGGTGATCTGCCCTCCTCGGCCTCCGAAAGTGCTGGGATTACAGGTCTGTGAGCCACAGTGCCCGGCCCGATTATGACTCTTTAAGAAAAAAACTGCCCACACTGAAACCTCAAATACTGATCACAGGATCCACCTGTGTTACCCAGCTGTTCTAGCAGCGAAAGTCTGAAAACGACCCCTCATTTTAATCAGGCAGGCAGGCATTCCACATGTACACTTGAAACCACACTAGACTATTTCTGCATATTATAAGTCACGAGAGAAAACCAGCTAGACCAATGAAGCAGCTTCTTCTATGATTAGATGCTTGTGTTGGGGGTGCGGGATTGGGGGAGATACGTTCTAGAAGCCACTGCCAGTTCTATTTAGAGTTAATCAAGCTTACCAGGACCCTGGGTCTCATGCAGCATGCAGCAAACAGCAGAGTTAACTGTAAAACAGTAAGAGCTGATGAAGATGGAGTGAGCATGAGGAGAAATCAAATATTATGACTTGACACAAACAATGAAGGGTTAGAGGTCAAAGGTGATTAGGAGTAGCAGGAAGGGGAAGTGGGAAGGGTGGACTGGTAGGAACCCCTGAAACACTGACACTCTTTTTTTTTTTTTTTTTTTTTTAAGTCAGGGTCTCCCTCTGTTGCCCAGACTGGAGTGCAGTGGTGCAATCACGGCTCACTGCAGTCTCAACCTCCCAGGTTCAAGCAATTCTCCCACCTCAGCCTCCTGAGTAGCTGGGATGATAGGCAAGTGCCACCAGGCCCAGCTAATGTTTAATTTTTTTTTTTTTTTGTAGAGACAGGGGCCTCACTATGTTGCCCAGGCTAATCTCAAACTCCTAGACTCAAGCAATCCTTTGCGTTGGCCTCCCAAAGTATTGGGATTACAAGCATGAGCCACCGCGGCTGGCCAATACTTTCTTAATCTCTTTAGGGGCAGCTAAAGGAAATTCTGAATATGTGACTCTTAGATCCAACCACCATCTCTCAAGAAGAAATACTACTACCACCATTTCTGCCCTCAAAACTCACTACCATGACTATGGGAGGAGGGTAGCACAGGTCTAACAGTGGCTCTTCCAGAAGTTAACCAATTGCTCATGAAATTACATAAGAAGCCAAAACCCAGGGCCACTTCTGCATCTGGAAGTACGGAAGAAGACAGGTCATTCTGTCAGGCCCTTATTGCTAATATGAGGTGCCGCATGCCAGCAGGGTTTTCACCCATTTCAGAATTGGAAAGGAGTGCTGTCACCAACCCCAAATATTCCTGGAGAGTAGAGAGGGGTATCTCCCTCTTGGGGTCTCCTGCCTGGGGTGGGAGAAGTCAGTCAGTAAGGGCAACAAGGGGAAAGCTTGATGTGAGAAGAACTTTTACTGAACATCTGAATAGGGAATATTTATAGTTTCAATGTAGCCTGAACAAACCAATTCCTAACTCCCACAAGCAGGCTATGAAACTGCCCCAGGTACTGAGTTAACAAATACCACAGGACTATGAAGGCAGCAGTTATAGCTGGATGACAAATTTAGATTTTTCTGATCTTAAAAATAGGAATTCATTCCTGCTGGTGCAACTAATACACCACGACAGATAAGTTAATACAGTACAGGGTGTGTCCAAAGAGACTTTTTTTCTGGCTAGTTGAACTTTATCCATCAGGTAATACCAAAAAAGTTCATTCATCAGTGAATTTGACATATAGTATTAAGATTCAGTAAGAAAAATTTCTGGACTAATTGGTGAAGATGTTCTTTTATTTTATTTTTTTCTTTTTTTAGACAAAGTCTCACTCTGTCACCCAGGCTGGAGTGCAGTGGCACGATCTTGGCTGTGCAACCTCCACCTCCCAGGCTCAAGTGATTCTCCTGCCTTAGCCTCCTGAGTAGCTGGGACTACAGGTGTGTGCCATCACACCCAGCTAATTTTTGTATTTTTAGTAGAGACGGGGTTTCGCCATGTTGCCCAGGCTGGTCTCAAACTCCTGACCTCAGGTGATCTGCCTGCCTCAGCTTCCCCAAGTGCTGGGATTACAGGCGTGAGTCACTGTACCCAGCCAAGATGTTTAAATTACGCATTTGAATAAAGAGTAATTGGATTGCAAAGCTGAGTGCCTTCAAATATAACATATTTTACTGTTAAGCAAAAGTTACCATGTTATTCCTAAGTGATAAGCCAGAGGAAAGGAAGGTGTTTCTTCCTTCTGGCAAAAATATCCCATAGTTAAGTCCAGGAACAAATGGCTGAAAACAGAAGGCAATGACCATGGACACCTTCTGGATCCTCAGTACCCTTTAGTAAAGACACTGCTAAACAGTCCACCTGGGAACACCTCAACCCACACTGCACAAACAACTGCAGGGCACAAGGGCACCACAGGAGTTTTTCTAGATCCCGTTGAAATACTTTTCTCTGGTTCTAGGATGAGGAATTGATAACTTCAGCAAGCAGAGACTGGGGTTGGGTGAGGATTATTGACCCACATGGTATCTAGGAGTCACTGTTCTAATACCAGGGGAGATGAGAAGTCTTAAAATCATTCCACAGATTGAGGATGGGGCACATGCAGCATACACTGACATCTGAGGGCTCCCCTGTTAAGTTCTCAGCACCCCAGGCTGGGCAGAACTAAGCCAGCAGGGAGGGATCACAAAGAGGTAGGAAATCAGGGCTGGGCTGCAGCCTTCGGTGGCAGCAGTTAAATTCTGTTGGCTGCAGCGAGTAAGAACTGAGGCAGGGTGAGGGTGGGACTACGGCCAAGGAGAGATGAGCAACCTCAGATATAGGGCAGGGGTGGGGAGAGAGTGCACTGAGTTTCTGCTAAAGGCTCTCTCTTTCTTCCACTACCCTGTATCTGCACTTCTTTTTTTTTTCTTTTCGAGACAGAGTCTCAATCTGTTGCCCAGGCTGGAGTGCAGTGGTGCGATCTTAGCTCACTGCAACCTCCGCCTCCTTGGTTCAGGCCATTCTCCTGCACAGCCTCCCAAGTAGCTGGGATTACAGGCGCACGCCACCACGCCTGGCTAATTTTTTGTATTGTTAGTGGAGACAAGGTTTCATCATGTAGGCCAGGCTGGTCTCGAACTCCTGAACTCAAGTGATCCACCCGCCTTGGCCTCCCAAAGTGCTGGGATTATACCATATCTGCAGTTCTTTTTGTTCCTCTCTTTCTTTTCTATTTTTTTTTTTTTCAGATGGAGTCTCACTCCATTGCCCAGGCTGGAGTGCAGTGGTGTGATCTCGGCTCACTGTAACCTACACCTCCCGGGTTCAAGTGATCCGCCTGCCTCAGCCTCCTGAGTAGTTGGGACTATAGGTGTCCATCACCACACCCAGCTAATTTCTGTCTTTTTATTTTTATTTTTTTAGATGGAGTCTCGCTCTGTCGCCCAACCTGGAGGGCAGTGGTATGATCTCAACTCACTGCAACCTCCGCCTCCTGGGTTCAAGCGATTCTCCTGCCTCAGCCTCCTGAGTAGCTGGGATTACAAGCTCACGCCACCACGCCTGGCTAATTTTTGTGTTTTTAGTAGAGACAGGGTTTCACCATGTTGGTCAGGCTGGTCTCTAACTCTTTTTTTTTATTTTTTATTTTTTGAGATGGAGTCTCGCTCTGTAGCCCAGGCTGGAGTGCAGTGGCGCGATCTTGGCTCACTGCAAGCTCCACCTCCCGGGTTCACGCCATTCTCCTGCCTCAGCCTCCCAAGTAGCTGGAACTACAGGCGCCCACCACCAAACCCAGCTAATTTTTTTGTATTTTTAGTAGAGACGGGGTTTCACCATGTTAACCAGGATTGTCTCGATCTCCTGACCTCGTGATCCACCCGCCTCGGCCTCCCAAAGTGCTGGGATTACAGGCATGAGCCACTGCGCCCAGACTTTTTTTTTTTTTTTTTAAGTAGAAATGGGGTCTTGCCATATAGGCCAGGCTGGTCTCGAACTCCTGACCTCAAGTGTTCCTCCTGCCTTGGCCTCCCAAACTGCTGGGATTACAGGCGTGAGCCACCTTGTTCCTCTCTTATATTGCTGCACCTCTAATTTTTTTCCTCCCTTCTGCTCTCTCACTCTCCCTCTGCTTTTCCTCTTTTCCCTTCCTCTCCCATGGACCTTGAGTTTGCAGGGCTTTCCTGAGCAAGCTGGACAGATGGGCTGGGCCTCTGGGACCACACCCCTCCCCTATTCTCAACTCCCCAAGCTCAGGGAATCAAAAGGTCCCACAGGGATGCTGGGACCAGTTATAGGTACCTCAACCAGTCTGACAGCCCGCAGCTCACCTCTGGTCACCAGTCCTCAGCCCCTTCAGGTGCCAGGTCCTGCCCCGGGAGGATGAGCAGCAGGAAAGAGAAGGCACCACCCCAGAGCAGACTGCTACTTACTTTTTCTTCTCTTTGTCTCTCTTCAGAGTCTGTGAGCCTCCAGCCTGGGAGCCCTGGGACTGGAGCAGCTCGGCTGCTGTCTTTCTTTGCTTGAAAGCATTCACTTCATCATCCAGGGATTTCTTCTTATCCTCCAGTTTCTTCTTCTCGTCCTGGTGCAGTTTCTTCAGACGGTCAAACTTCTCGTGCAGCTGGCAGGGAAGCACAGGGAGATTGGAGAGAGTCCCCTGTGAGCAGTCCCCAGCCTGGCCAAGCCCAGATGGGTGGGGACCAGTAGGGCTGTGACCCTGCAGGACCCTGGAACCTCAGGGGGCATTTCTGTCAGGGATTGCCATGATGGCACCAAAGGCACCATGCTCTGGATCATTCTCTCCTCCTGTCATTTTATCTCCAAGTCTCTGCTCCTGAATATGGTAAAGGAATACTGCATTGTGTTTAGTCAGACATTTTGTTAAAAAGAGTCCCCATAGTTACCACACATGTTCAATAATAACATCAATGATAATAATGTAACATTTACTGAGTGCTGGCCGGGCTCAGGCCTGTAATCCCAGCACTTTGGGAGGCCGAGGTGGGCAGATTACTTGAGGTCAGGTGTTTAACACCAGCCTGGCCAACATGGGGAAACCCCATCTCTACTAAAAATACGAGAATTAGCCAGGCATTGTGGCATGTGCCTGTAGTCCCAGCTACTCAGCAGGCTGAGGCAGGAGAATCACCTGAACCCGGGAGGCAGAGGTTGTACTAAGCCGAGACCACGCCACTGCACTCCAGCCTGGGCAACACAGCAAGACTCCGTCTCAAAAAAAAAAAAAAAATTACTGAGAAATTATTATAGGCTAAGCACTAACTTTTATAAGCCCTTTATGTATATTAATTTATTTAATTGTTACCACATTCCTATGAAGTAGGTTCTTTATTATCTCTATTTTATGAGGAAACAGAAGGTCTAAGAAGTAAGGAATTTGACTATGGTCAACTCAGTATTTAGAGCATTATATAACGGGACCTCTTATGTGTAAGGAACCCCTGTCTTTTCTTAACCCCGCAATCAGGAAGGATCACCACGGATCACAGAGAAAACTTCAGTAATGGGAAAGTCAGTCAATGGAAATGCTTGGCTTTGGGCATGGAAGGAAATAAAAAAGATTTTATGACATGGAATGAGTACAGACACCTCAGCCTTAACTAAAGGGAGGCTTCATTAGTCCTGAATAGAACCAGAAACCCAAAGAACAAGAAGAATATTCTGGGCCAGGCACAGTGGCTCATGCCTGTAGTACCAGCACTTTGGGAGTGCTGTGATCCCGGTAGTCAGCTCAATCCCAGCCAAGGTGGGTGGTACGAAGTCAGGAGTTCTAGACCAGCCTGCCCAACATGATGAAACCTCGTCTCTACTAAAAGTACAAAAATCAGCTGGGCGTGGTGATGCGTGCCTATAATCCCAGCTACTCGGGAGGCTGAGGCAGGAGAATCGCTTGAACCTGGGAGGCGGAGCTTGCAGTGAGCCAAGATCGCACCACTGTACTCCAGCCTGAGCAACAGAGCGAATCCCCGTCTCAAAAAAAAAAAAAAAAAGAATATTCTGGTATGCCATTGTGGTAGGTGGATCAAAGAACAAGAGGCACAGACAGTCACAAACTAAAATGCAATAAACTACCCTGAATAGTAAGAGCAGAGCAAGCTGAATTGCACTTTCTTTCATGGATTCGGAAAAGAGTTTAGGATTCTGTAGCACTTGCAGCATACCATGAAGAAAGTTGGTTCTCTGGGTCCTGGGGGTATTTGACACTGTCACTTAGGTAGGTGAGTGATAGACTTGCTGTATAAACCAGCTCTTTTCTTTTTTCTTTCTTTCTTTCTTTTTTTTTTTTTGAGACAGAGTATCACTCTGTCGCCCAGGCTGGAGTGCAGTGGCACGATCTCGGCTGCAACCTCCGCCTCCCGGGTTCAAGTGATTCTCCTGCCTCAGCCTCCTGAGTAGCTGGGACTACAGGCGCATGCTACCACTCCTGGCTAATTTTTTTTGTATTTTTAATAGAGACAGGGTTTCACCGAGTTAGCCAGGATGGTCTCGATCTCCTGACCTCGTGATCCGCCTGCCTCGGCCTCCCAAACTGCTGAGATTACAGGCGTGAGCCACTGCAACTGGCCTAAAGCATCTCTTAGTCACTAGGGCTGCCTATCAGTTGCCTTAACCTGGCTTTTGTTTGTTGTACTTTTATTAATTTGTCTTTGAGATCCCCTCAATTCTCCTAGAAGTGATGGGTGACATTTTTTTTTCTTTTTCTTTTTTTTTATTGAGACAGTCTCACTTTGTCACGCAGGCTGGAGTGCAGTGGCCTCGATCTCTCGGCTCAAGCGTTCCTCCCACCTCAGCTTCCTGGGTAGCTGGGACTACAGGCACATGCCACCATGCCTGGCTAATTCTTTGTATTTGTACTTTTTAAATTTTTATTATTATTTTTTTTTGAGATGGAGTCTCGCTCTGTCGCCCAGGCTGGAGTCCAGTGGCACAATCTCGGCTTACTGCAACCTCCACCTCCTGGGTTCAAGCAATTCTTCTGCCTCAGCCTCCCAAGTAGCTGGGACTACAGGTGC